CTATGTATTTATCTACTTTATCCCAGGGGATGTGGCTTGCCTGTCTTCCAAGCAGACAAGCGAGAAATAATATATTGTTAAGCCCATAGGGCTACACGTACATTCTGCTCACCTCATATTCCCTTCAATGGCATGTTTCCGCCACATATGATATCACTTGTGGCTTGCGGATATCATCTCCTGAGTCAAATAATGCCTGGTGCCCAGGTCTTGGGCGAAGAAGACTGTAAAATGTTAAGAATAAGTTAGACAACGAGATGCTTCCTTTTGCCGAAGCATATCTTGTTCAATGCTGGGATCTCACTGCCGTGACACCCGGAGTGATCCCCCCGCGAGAGATTCAATACAATTTCTGAGAAATACAGAGCGAATACGGCTCACGAATCCATTGATATTTTAACCTGCTCTTACAGTCGCACAGATTGTGTTCGGGATGGTCCATTTAGTCTGTAAGTTGTTAACTCTTCCCTGCCTAACCCTTGAGTCTGGGCTACCTAGCCTCCATAAATTGGCAGACAGGGTGTACACGAGACGAAATCCAAAATATAGTCATTCAAGCTTAGTTAGTTGGTGGCTAGTTACATACGCAGCCAACGAAACGGACAAATGTCGGTGTGCGCTTTCAACTAGCCTTCTCGATATGATAACAAGCTACCTTTGTAGTCCCAACAGGTTCCAAGATTCTGGAGGAAGAATACCGTATTTTCTGGCTCGTCCAAGTCCAGCATCTTGTTTCACCCTGGAGACTGGTATAAATAGGACCTTTGGCTCACATATTTTGAGGGCTACTCGAAAAATGCCCAGTTATATGTGTGAAGCACAATGTTGGATGAATGTTTTTTTTTTTTTTTTTTTTTTTTTTTTTTTTTAAAAAAAAAAAAAAAGAGAAAGTCCTAATTAGAGTGTCAATGCCTGATCACATAACTGACCAACTAGCCAACTAGCGAAGAGCCAACCTATGTACCGAGGTAGGTTGAGGGAGAATGATAGATACGCGTGAATAATAGTATGATAAATCATGCTGACCTGAGGACCCAGAAGCAATAGTGCTGCTATTTTGACAGTGGCTTAGCGAGAGAAAACGTGGGCATCTAACTATGTAGTTAATAACAGTGCGGCTGCACTTGTCCCAACCTTTAGCAACTATAGTCTATTTACTTCATTATGTAGGGTCATTGGAACCGGCAAATATCAATTACTTGGTTACATGAGACTCCTGGCGCGAGACAAGCTTTGAATAACAACTGAATATTTTGACTTGGGCGTAACTGGATAATCAAAATCCTTTCCTGTTTGCCAAAAAATTGAGTGTTTTAGCAAAGAAAAAATGATGCAGCTCCAGGAAACTTCCTGGAAATCAAGTAACTAATTATAGGAAGTGCAAGCTAAGTCTTTCGCTTATTGCATTCTGAGGTTTCTGGTAGCTTTGTCGGATGTCCCGTAACTATAACCGACTTTGGGTTAGGGTTATTCCCGCTCTGCCGCTTTTTATAACCTGCCTTGACTGGGCCGAATACTTAGCTCCCCTATTTATATACCGTATTGCTCCAAGCGTCGTTTTTCCTACTTAACCCGTATCAAATGAGTATTCAAGTTCAAGTATAAACGTCTAACCTCACACTATATATAAACTGAACCTTGCATGCATTGGAAGATAACGACACAGAAATGTACCAAAAGCCGTGGTTCATTAATTCTGGAAACATTCTAAAAGCATAATATTAACGTGCTGATAAATAACTTATGTGTTATACATCTGGCAAACATGTCTTTGCCCAATTGATAGGTATCGCGAGCTCAGACATATACCAGGTCGTCGTACCAAAGTGACATACAAAGACATAAGAACACACTCATCTAAGTAAGTCAAGTATCATAATAAAGAAAAAAAGTAGCTTTCCATTTCATCTTCACGTTCCAATAGCGCAGTTAACGGTTCTCGTTTCCTAGTTCTTGAGGGACTTGACTGACGTGAGAAGGCTTTGAGTCTGGTGGCATTTCATATGGATGTGCGGTCACAGGTTGTGTTTGCTGTTGATACATAGGCTGCTGTACCGCTATAGGTTGTGACGCATAGGTTTTAATTAGACGGAGGCGCTTTCGTCGTTCATAAAGGGCCCAGCCTATGGCACCTATAGCTATGACGCCAAGAGGGACACCAACACCAGCACCAATAGCCACATATGTCTTCGATGCGTTTTCGAGTTCAACTGGAGCACTCATAGCGGAAGCATGTATGATATCATTGCCAGGAGAGGTTGGATCGAGTCTGGGTACGGTGCAAGAGGCTCTGGCAAGGAGAGCGCTATCTGTGATAACATCGCCCCGATTGATGGTAAAGGGCTCCGTGTCCCCAGCACATGTTGTGGTGCTCGATGAATTGGCGACGATCGAGTTCGCGCAGTATAGTGGCGTATGGTTAACAAAGCTGTGGAGAGGGATTGAGCAGCCCGTTTTTCTTGTACTGGCTACTACTCAAGAAGATGTTAGCAACCGTCTACTTTCAAACAGGGAGACAAGTATTAAGCTGGCAGATGTAGGGGTGTACTTTTTGAGCAAGGGTCAGGACACCCAGACGATGAGCTCCAGTTCTTGTCGGTACACGTTCCACGCGCCAGGGTATATGGTTGGGTTGTTACAAGACAGTAACCGTTGGTCATGCAGATTGAGGACTTCGAGCAGCAATGTGTGTCGCGTATCCCTGAGAAACATGGCACATCGTCTACAGCAAGGGAGCCGTCTGGGAAATAGCAATCTCTTGCAGCGTACACCGGTGCAGCCAATAGCAAATAGAGGAGTTTCCTTGACAATAACATCTTGATGGACGGGGGAGGGACGGGAGCAGCCTCAGTTGCGATCGAAAAAGGCCATAAAACGCGAAGGATGGGGGAAATCAAGATAAATAATATGTGCCAGCTCCCCCTATCTTAAGCGGCCGCAAACTCGGTCGCCAGCCCTTCATGTGCTGATGGAAGCACCACCGCTGCACATCCCCTTCGTAATTGCTGAGGACAATAGCAAAAATTGTCCACTGAAGGGGTAAGGATCATCAGTTCACCCCACCGGCCAAATCCTTCAGGCGGCAGGGATGCCGTATCAAGCAAGGCGGCGGCGTCTCATGATATGCCCCAACGGTATTTTGCATCTCAATCTCTGGCTGCATAGATCGCTGGCTTCGTTGGTTCAGCTATCAAAGCGCATGAGACGTTCCTTGACTTGTCCGTTGTCCGTTCAAGCAAAGTAAACAAACGGTGGTTCTCGGACGTCGAGAAATAAGGTTGACAACCCGCGCCTGTGGAGCCTTTTCGACTGCCCGAAAGTCAAAATGAAAAAACGTGGGAAGCTTGTCACGGTGGTGAAGAAGAGACGAACACTTCGTCGGCGTTGGGGGAATTGGGATCCGAACTCAAAGGCCTACATATACTGTATTTTGCTCGGGAAATTAAGATTTGGCGGCAACTAAGTCCGCAAACAGTACTCCGTATAATCAAGATAGATGAATGGGGAGCTTCGTTAGAGGTGGGGTACATATATTGTACAAATTAAGCACGAGTTGTCATAAAAGCCAGTCTAACTCAGCGTAGGGAGCAGCTAAAGCAAGAAAGACGAGTAAGAAGGTCAATGAACGAAGTAACAAAAAGGGGGTAGGACATAGTAGAGACAGTAAATTTGAAGTGTATTAAATAAGATAGATGGTGAGGGTATCTCAGTAAATCTATATAGTGTAGATTTAGTATCAAAAGAAATAATAGGGAAGAAAAGAAAGAGAAAAGAAGAAATAGGAAAGGCCACGTAAAGGAAGGCAGGTATTAAATCCATCTGAGATTAAATGGCAAGATGTAGTAAATAAGTAAGGAAAATGGTCAATGGAAAGGCATAACAACATAATACGTCCCATACGGGAGTGTGCATTAAGGGATAGAAGGAGCAACGGGGTGCGGTGATTATGTCTCTTGGAATGGTGGAATGGGAGGAAGTATATATATCAGGGGAAGGGATAAGGATCGACTGATATTAAATAAAGTGGGGAAAAAAGGCGTGTGCCAGAAGTCAGGAAGTGAAGACGAGACAAAAAAAGAAGATTAAACGCGAGCAGGCGGCGGCAGTATTTGGACTATCCTTCTGTGGAAGAATATATTAATGAAAGGAATGTAGTAGTTTGGTATTAGAGTCGAGAGGAAGAAGGGTCTAGCGTTTAATGTCCCTTCTTTCGACAGTGAACTTTCCATTCGGTTCTGGCAACTCTCATGAAGAGCTCAATATCATTTATCGGCACCCAGCTGGTGAGAACTTTCATTGCATTCTCAAAGTCGGATTCGAGAATGATGTCCCGCATTCCGTCGATCAAGGCTGCGGAGGTTGCATGTAGAATATCAAGGCTCTTACCAAAGGGGTTGGCCACAGGGTGAGCAGGGCCGGTTCCAGTACTGGTAGCATCGGCGTGGCCGTTGGTACTGGCTGGAACAGTAGGCTGGATTGGTTCTCCGGAATCTCCCAGAAGCATGAATACATCCCATACTCGGAGTTGAGCAGCAAATGGGATGGAATAGTTGAACAGAGTCAAGTACCATCTGGTTCCGTAGGCAGTTGGGGGAATTCCCAGTTCGGTCTAAACAATGGGTATGGTGTTAGCATGCAGCTCTGAAAGGATTGGAGAGTAAAGGAAAATCAGTAACTTACCAGTTTCTCAGCTACCTCCCCATTACCTAGCCAGTCTTTCTCAAAGCTATTCAGTGCCTCCATCAGACCAGCAAAACCTTCACGATAAAGTCGATCAAGTCCTCTGTATTGCCAGAGACGGACGAGCATGACAAAGGCGTTCTCCTCGTCATAGTAAGCAAGTAAAGTGGCAGCCAGTGCTGCCATACCCTGCACATAACCGGTTTCTGGGAAATACAGAGACATGGCATGTAGCACACGGAAAAGAAGTCTCTGTCCTCCACGGTATCGACGGCGGAACATGATATGGCTGCTAATGGTACGAGGGACGTCTATATCGATCTGGACGTCATCAGGAGAAGGATAAACCTGCAACTCATTGAACTTTCTAATCAATTCATCCTCGGTAGGGCTGTCGGGACGTTTCTTTGCACTGGCAGCTAAGAAGGCATGCCATGCTGTTGACCGCCAGCTGTCCGGGATTCCCTTCCAGGTACGATCGATGAGCTTGGTACTGGTTACGTCGAATTCAAAAGTCATGCCAGAGCCATCTTTAGCCTTGGAGGTAAGCCTGGCCATTTTACGCCACTTGTCTTCACGCTCAGATTCCTTCTTCCTCATGGCCTTGGAATAGGCTGTTTCATCTTCGGAGAAACTGAAACTATTGGTCTTTTGGGTAGGGCTGGTTAACATGTCACCGGCCTCGTCCAGGAGCTTGCGAGAACGGTTATGAGGGAGCTTGTTGGCTGCATAACGTAGACTGCTGGTAGTACGAGAAAGATGAGGCTGGTATGAACTCTGGGAGGAAGTTGGACGCATTGGTTGGTCACTGGTTCGCTGAGAGGAAGAACGGCCGGCAAAAGAACGGATACTTGCCGCCCCAGCCGTTGAAGGTGGACGTTTGGCCATAGTACGTTTCCGTCTAGGTGTGGCAGAGGCAAGCATCAAACTGGTCGAGACCCGTTGTAACGGCTGCGGTACGTGCGCTTCTGGCTCGCCATCCTCAGGATGAGGAATGATGAAACCATACCTATCGACGTAACCGTTCTCAATATCATTCCAGTCCTCTAAGCCACCAGCAAGCTCATTACTTTCTCGCTCAACCGTATTTGTCCTTCTGGCTGGGCTAATTGTATTCGTTGACACTGTTTCTGATTTCTCACTTGCAGGGTCAGTAGAAGCTGCATTTCCGTTTGCAGGAGAAGAGTCAGCATTTTCAGAGACATCTTTCTCCTCATCCTTGTCCATGAGCATGCTCTCATCTTCATCCAAAGCCTGGGTTCAGTTCTGCCTCACTAATAAAATCCTCTCCCTTCTCATACATCAACCTCACTTTTCGGGATAACATCTCTTCGTCCACCGACAAGGTACGTATGGTACCGCCACTACCACTTCCAGATCTCACAACCCTCAACGAATTCGCAGATCGAATGCGTCGCGTGCTGATATTCCGCATAGTCGAGGAACTCACTTTCCTGGTGGGCGAAATTGTGTGTGCCTCATCAGCACTGAGCAGCTTTGGGTTGGTGGTTGTAGGCGGACTCCATTCGTTTATCTCGTCAATCGTAGAGCTGGTGATGTCCCCTAAAGACGCGCTTGGGATGTCCATTTTGATGCCTTGGAAGGGTGGGATGGGGGGAACTGGAGGTATATTACTTGAGCTAAGACTGGATATACCGGACCGTTTCCTTAGAGCTACCTCACCTCTAGTACCGCGCACCGAGCTCCATTTTCTCTCAGATAAAGATCTTCTTGAAGCGGGTCGGCTAGGAGCCTCGTCCACGATAATGCTGGGTATATCACCGTCGGCGCTCTGTTTGCCTCTCACGAGATTCAACGAACGTTTTCCGGCAGAGATAGTCGCGCGACGTTCCCTCGAGGCAAAGGCAGAAGAAGTGATCCGCGACCAAGCAGAAGAAGGGCGGGCGTTGGCATTGAAGCTCCTGAACGAGCCAGAGAAGGACGGTCGACTAAGTGGTTCCGCAGCCGTTTCAGCCTCGACTTCTAGTTTATCGCGAAGTTTCGGGTCCTCAAGAGTTGCCACAAAGGAGGAAGGTTCGAAATTAACGGACTCCGCGTAGGAGGACACGACCGGAGATGACAGTGTTGGCGGTGATAGCGCTCGCTCTGAAGACGCGGTAGTTGCCATGCTGCGTAACCGGTTCGCCTGGATTGTATCTGCCCGGTTTTTGTTTTCCTACGTATATAGCTGGCCCACACACCAGCTCTTTGCGCCCAACACAGTAGTGGCGCACAAAGAGGGACGCAGAATCAGGAGCTTGCGAGTTGACGGGCAAGGGTAGACGAGGGCTTCGTTGGCGACCCTGTAGGCGGCATTCCCGAAAGCGAGCGGCCGGAGTGTGAACGTACGGGGGGAGGCCAAATATCGTGAACTGCAGGCGAGTCTGAAACGATGTAGCGGTACGGAGTACCACAGGGAAAAAAAGGAGTGACTGGGCGTTTGGGAACTAGTAGTTGCTCGCGTTGGGCTGCGCTGCGGGCAGGCTAGGGCATGTCGCTCGGCGTTTCAGCGGCCTGCGAGTATACCAATTCAGATATACCCCGACGACGACTTCAGCTGTCTGCTGGCGCCAGCATCGAGGGATCGTGGGATGCCCGGGGTGGTTCGTCGTGCGTTGCGCTGATGTCGAATCACTTTTTGCGCTTTCGCATGTTGACTTTCTGGGGAGGAAAAAAAGAAGGAGCGAAAAAAGAAAAAAAAGAAAAAAAGGAGAGATTAGGTAATAATTGCTGACTAAGAAGATGAAGCGGGTGGTGGACATGTGACTCGACGCCGTTTTAGGAAGTGCTTAGTGAGATATAGATTAGCTTCTTAGTCATGAATTAGTCAGTGAGAAGGTGCAAACATAAGGTGCAAACAAGCCGAAAAGGGGGGAAAGTCTCAGCCTCAAGCTTCTAAATAGTGTAAGAAAGTAGATCAGAACAACGGTTTACGTCTAAGTATATCCCATGCAGATAAAGGGGAACCAGAAGACGCACGCAAGAGGAAGAACGAAAAGCCCACCACCCAGTCAACCAGCCTCTACGCTTTTTTATTTTCTTTCTAAGACTTAAGTAGAATAATAAAATAAGAAACTTAATATATCTTATATATATGTCAAAGTCTGCCGCTACACCAAAAGGAGTGAGCCCACACTAATGGTAGGCAGAGCTGAAGTTTGACAATATATAAGGGTACATATTGTCCAGCCCGGCTTTCGTCCTTGCAAAATACTTGGAACCGTGTACCTTTGAGTGGTTTGTGGTTTGTGGTTTTTTCGTTACCACCTCTAGAAAATTGAACAGAATACTCATAGAACTGGGGCCTAGCCCTGGCCTTGTTGTAGAGGGACTTCACTCCAACAAATACGGTTATTGATGGGCTCCCAAACAATCTTCCCATTAAATTGGAGTTTGTTACCTAGTGTTGCATAGCTCAGGTTGGATTGGTAGTCATTGATGTATTGTTCGTGTTGCCCTCGGTGCAGAAGGCTCTAGTGTAGGTCGTTGCGTCGTGTCACGTGAAGGATGCGCTGACTGAGAGCGGGGTCGTCCTAAAGGACGTTGTGGCTCGTCGACTGAATTACCTAACGCGGTAGGTGGGTTATTCTGTCGCCAAATGTGGTAAGTGGGGGTTTTGACGAGGTCGTCCGTCAACGACAAGAATCTCGTGACCGCGCTGTTTCCATAAGGACGGGCGGTCTATAGGCCAGTCCGCTGGAATTTGCGCTATTACTAGATATATCTCTTGCTGCTGGGCAACCACGTAACGTATTCTTGTTAAGGTGTCTGTGTCAAATTGGTCGTGTCCGACGTATCGAGCTGCTCAAAATATTTTGAACTATAGAGCAAGCTACAGAGCGTCGGTGGGGATATCAGATATAGGAGTAGGACGCAGAGCAGAAGATAGGGTATAAGAAGAAGTCAAGTTGTCGTCGACGGAGTCAAGGTGTCGATAAACAAGATAGCTGAACGACACAACCAGGCAGAGGTTGTCGCAGACAAAAGAGAGGAAGAAACTGCACGACAACGGACACCGTCGTCTGGTTGGTATAGCGGAAGCAACGTCCTGGCGTTCCCGGGGCGTTAGAAAGAAGAAAACATGCTACCACCCAGCCCCCTTCTAGAACCTAAAGATTAGCTGGAAATAAGTACGTAAGGTTATAAGTAAATAGGCTAACTTACCGAAACATGCATATAAAGGATTTCTGATTACAGAGCTGAAGAATACAGTGGTTGATTGCTTGGGTGTAACCATCGAGACGGTTAAAGCTCTTAAAGTCTATCTATACTCTTAGTCGACTAAGTTAACTAAATTAGTAACCATGACTAACTGGGTGGTTAATTATCTCGGGACTTGTTTGAGAAGAATCGACATACCTGAAATGATAGAACTAAGTCATGGTCTACTTTTGCTAAATTCCACATTCCCTTATAGGCAGAGATTGGCTTTCCATCTTGTATTAATAAAGCCTTCCTTGCAGATGAGTCAATGATGAACCCACCAGCATTAAAACATGCCCGGTAGCCATCCAGTTCCCCGAATATAAACGAGGATGGGTAATCGCTACAGTCTATACGTGAAGCGACTTGTATTGCGAATGATGTACAGAGTCCCGTGCCATTTTTCCAAAGAGGAGCTAGTTCTGCTACTCCGGTATTTCGTAGGATCTCCCTTACCCTCGCCTTATCGATAGATATTTCTCCCGGGACAAAGTCACCGAGTTCAACTTCGAGCTTGCAAGCCCTTGAGTTACCGTTATGTCACGTGATAACTTATCTAAGCACTCACGTGACATGCTCTGTACATAATGTACCGTTTGACTGATCCATGTTCAATAGATCAGTGATTAGCTCACTACCAATCTATTATATACGTTCTACCATTGATTCGTCTCTAGTCTCGCAGTACCTTTAGCCCACAAGCCTCACACTTACGGAGAATAAACTCCAGCATTGTCAGTGACGTGTAGCATGAGGTCACCCAGACTTCTTCATAGAGTTTGGACTCCATTAGGGAGATTCTGGCTTTGGGATTGGATTAGGCAATAATCGCATATAAAGATCTTGACTTGGAGGTTGAATTGGGGGTAATATGTGTTTTTTTGACCCAAGATACAAAATTTGACGTGGACTACCAGATTAGGCTAGCAATTAACAAATTTAAGATTGGTTGTTGGTGTGTTTTTTCTGGCGTTTGGTCAACGTGCTCAATTTCAATGAGGGGTATTATTCACTCATTCCATTCTATGCCTATCTATCGCCCTTTTCTGTACTCATATAGTCGCTGAGGCATTGTTTTGCTATCGCGTTCCTTCGAGATTTCTTAGCCTCCCTTTGAAAACTACCTAGTTAACTAGTTAGCAGGTGCAAGTGCTGCGGCCTTCTCCTTCTCGGCTCGTGCTTTAGCTAGCCTCTCCTCCTTGAGCTTGAGCAAATCAGTCAAGTTCCACGGCGAGTCCATGATATCAAAGAAGATTTCAACAACCTGGATGACGTCTGTCTTAAGGAAAGTCTCATTGTTCAAGATGACGCCGAGCTCCTTGTAAGTGCGCGCAGTGTAGCTTCTGCTGTCCTTGGCGCCGAAGAAGCCGAGCATCTTCTGGTAATCCCACATCTCAGAGATGTCGTTATACTGCTGCTCGGGGCCGTGGATGAGCCGTTCGATGGTGTAGCCCTTGTTGTTGACTACGAAGATGATGGGCTTGAAGCCCTCGCGAACCATGGTGCCGATCTCCTGGACGGTCATATGTAGACTGCCATCGCCGACAAGGAGGATGACGCGGCCTGGGCTGGAGGTCTCGCGACGGGCGAGGAGGACACCCAAAGTGGCAGGGACTGAGAAGCCGATGCAACTGTAGTAGAGTTGGGAGAAGTATGTGGTGTTGTCGGGAAGTGTGAGGCCCTGGGAGCCAAACTGTGAGGTTCCCACTTCGGCAATGACAAAGTCGTTGGGGCGTAGGAACTTGGAGAGGCGGTCCCAGAAGCGAGCGTGGTCAAGGGGATCAGTACAGTTGTCATCAGATGGTTTCTATGGAAGATGTTAAGATAATGGTCACTGCTAAAGGATGACTGACGCAGACATACCTCTGAGGTCTTGGGGAGTATCTTGGCAAGGTCTACTTTCCGTTGGATAGGTTCTTTGGCGAGTCTGGCGAGGAGCTTCGTAATAACAGGTCTAAAGTCAAGACCCTTCCAGACCTTTCCTCCCACTGAGCAGAATCCAGGGTGTAGTTCAATGAGCTTATCGGCGGGGAGCTGTGTGCTGAATCCACCCGTGTTTCCACTAACGTTAAACGGACCTAGGTGCAGGACAGCATCATGGGACTCTATCTGGCCCTTGAGGGCAGGGTTACTCGAGGTGATACCGCAGTATAGACCGGCGTAGTGAGGATCGGACTCGTTGACAGTAGATTTACCTAGTGGCGTCGTATACCACTATCATATGTTAGAATCACTATTCATTAAGAAGAACAGGCAGAGAGGGTAGGCTTACTGGAGCAGCTAGCAGCTTGATAAGCTCACTTGTTTCCTTGTACAGGTTATGCCTGGACATCAACATGTCAACCAAGACACCGGGATCCTTGGCTTGACCCATACGCTTGACGACTTCCTCGACAACCTCATCCTCCTCCGCCTCTCTACCCTCATTCCTCACAGTAAGGTCAAGGGGTTTCTCCAACGGGGCGGCATCAATCGGACTATCTTGAATATCCAATGGCACGAACAGGTAGACGGGCAGCCTTCTCTTAATAGCTGTTTCAATCACACGGTCCACCTCGGCAGCAACCTTACTCTCGTCATCCAGGAAGGCAGTAGCGGCAGCTACAGGCTCAACCATCTTCTGATACGTTCGGTGGTCCCACTGGTCCATCCACAAGGTATGATGGATACGCGTGTGGTTGCGCTGCATGTCTCTCGACGTGTTTCCCACGATATGGATGACTGGTATGTATTCACTGTATGCGCCCACTATGCCGTTCAGGGCACTCAACTCTCCAACTCCGTATGTAGTGACGACGACGCCGGGCAGGGAACGAGCACGGGCGTATCCATCCGCCGCGTAGGCAGCGTTGAGCTCATTGCAGGTGCCAACCCAGCGCAAATCCGGCACGCTGTAGACATGGTCGAGCAGGTTCAGGTTGAAGTCACCAGGTACTCCAACGATATTGCGAATGCCGAGCTGGTGTAGACGGCGAAAGATGTACTCGCCAACAGGGATCGTAGACATGGTCACTTCTGTATAGTTGTCTGGTTCCCTATGTTCCTGACGGTCCTGATGCTAAATGGAGTACTGGGAGAATGAACGTGGGGTCGGGTCTGGATCTGCAGCAGAGAGTAAGTGAGGGATGTCTGATATCAAGGGAAGATCGAGATCGAGAAATAGGCTCTTCTCTATATATGTACCTGTAGGGATGCTTCCTCCCCTACGCTCGGCTTTTCGCTCCTGCTGGTTCCTTTTGCCCCGCAAAAAACGCCCTTCGACTTCCATGCTTCGGCCCGACGGAAGCTTAGATAAGCAAGGGTAAACGCCGGGCGCCCTTGCCCTAGCCCTAACCCTGCGCCTTTTCAAAAGGGGACACCCTCCTTAGTATCAGGGGAGCTCTGGAGACAGTTGGAGACAACAAGCAGCAACAAGCGTGGCCTCTTCTGCTTGCCTGCCTCTTTCTCCCTGACTGACTGACTGCTCGTTGTTCCTCCAGATTCACTCTGCTACCTCGGCTAAACTCGGGTGTTTTTCTCCGCCTTCGCCACCGGCTGTAGTGGAGAACATGCAGGAACTAGCAGAATAGTAAAGGAGTAACTTGTTGGTAGATAAGATAGATATACAGGAAAAAAACGACGTCACCTTGGGCGAGAACTAGATCTCTCTGTTGACTGCTTCATTGTATTAGGACTTCTATATCCACACTAAACATCCAAGCATGCCTATTTCCAATATGATACTCCTAACCTCCCTCATCACTGTGCCTGCGCTTGGCTAGGAAGGTTTTCTATCTGCCGTACTAGGAAGCTCTTTTCGTCTGTAAACTGGTCATCGTCTGTCCGGTCTTCCAGAAACTTGGGAAGGAATTTCAGCAGTCTCTCTCGATTATTGATTAGAATCCGCTGGACAGCCACGCTTTTGTTCGGATTAGCCACAAATACCTATGTCATATTAGCTAAAGGTCTGAATACCACTGATAATAGAAGACACATACTTTGAAGATGTGGAAACCCTCATATTGCACCATTTTGCGGTCGTCTCGAAGCAGGTTCATGCATAGTTTGAGGTGATCACCACTGTCCACGTACGCTGTCATGACATTGTAGTTGGCCCGATCAAGCAGCAGCTCGCCCAAAAGCTTAATGCTCTGTCTCTTGGTTACGTACGAGTCAGACAGCACCAAAATGTTGTTGTATCTGCTGAAAAACAGGTCGAAGTTGGCACTTAGGTAGCCGGCCACCAGTGCCTTATGACGAGTCAAGATATCCTAACCGTGACGTTAGTTACCAGCATAATAACCATGGGAATATATAGAAAAACATACCCTAAACGTGGTAAACGCATCTGCGCTTACTTCAAAACTACTCTGGTTGATCCAGCCCAGAAAACTCCAGAATAGCCCCTCCCCACTTTGTTTCTTTCCTGGCTGTATCTCGTTAAGTCGTATTGCTCTTTCGCCCTCTCCAGACTCATCGTACAAGATAATACCGGCCACCACCTCGTACTTCAGCGCTTCTCGTAGAATGGAGCCACATGGCATTGCGCTTTTGTTGTTTTCATACCCTCGACATAGCTGTGTTAGGATCTCGGGCCGCTTGTGGACGACGTACGAAATGACGGGCGGGTCACCAGATGTAGACGAAACAGAAGCAGCACCTCCACCGCCCGCGGAATTAGGTATGGTTGAAGACGCGGCCGATATGTCAGGTCTGAAACGGAGGATATGCGAGAATATAGTCTGGGTGTCCTTGCGTGCTTCAAACGGTAGATTAGGGATAGATCGCGCAAGTTCGTAGAGAAGGTCTTCCTGTAATGATGCGTGGACAAGTTGCTGTACCTGGTCGGGTAATGTATCGACCTCTATTTTCCACCTGGTTAGCAGACATAGTGGCACAAATGAGTATTGAGTACGAGCGCATCCAGACCTTGCGTCCCCTGGACTATCAACTTCATGTGGCCCAACTGCTTAGCTAGGTCTTCCTCAACCTGCCAGTCTTATTAGTATTTCATCTGAAGTAGTGTCTCTCTGGTACTTGAGGGGTTCACCTTTGCATCTCCTGGGACATCCCGCAGCTTGACCAGCAGGTCTTTGGTTGTCCTTGCAACCTCTGCGGGCTGCCGCTGTCTGCTCCTGTTAAATAGAAATGCCATCACTAGATAAAAAGATAGACCAGGTCTTCTCCTCTTTCTCTACTAGTCCCAAGGTCCTGCTCATATAAGACGCGCTTTCAGATCAGGGGAGATAGTGTGCCGCGCCGCAGTATAGTGCAATGCAATGGATAAAAGGCAGATATCAGTGTAAAGGACCACTTCCTAGTTCACAGTCATCATTGTCGGCCTAGCTTCCCTTCTGCCTAATTCCCGTCTGTGTAGAAGCTGTGTTTTGGTGGTGAAGGGCAGCAGATGTTGATGTTGATATCACTAGCTAAGGAGCTCTTTTATGTTAAATAGTTATCGATCGCAAGACTTTTTGCCCCACTCGCGCAGAAAATCATCCTATTTAGTTAACTATCTCGATATTTTTTTTTTTTTCTCTTAACCTTGACAATAATACAAAAATTCAGACAAACATCTACAGGCTTCCAACTTGGGATACCTACTGGCTACTTGCTAGCTCTGCTTGTTTAGCGTTATTTTATCTTGTTCTATCTGCGACAATGAGTCCTCCACCTACGCACGATGACCGGGATAGCGACAGTGACGAATCGGCGCCTGAAGAGCCCCTCGATCTTACCCGCGACGACGGATGGGAAGACGTAGAGCCCGAAGAAGAGAGCGAACCCATTGTTGGCCTTTTCACAGACAAGATATACCCTGACACACGTTCAATGCTGGAAGAAAGCAAGGAGAAGTTTGGGTTCGACTTTGTTCGCGTGCAACAACAGTTGGGTGTGTACCCAGCCGGTCACTGTCTACGGTATCAACCCGGTTGCTAACCACTTCATATATAGGACTTGACTTCCTTGGGACTATCAGGCTGGTCAATTATATCCGCTCAGAGGTGAAGAACGGCAACACGAAGCCTGACGTCTCCAGCGCCGCCCTATTCGAAGATGAGAAATATCTCAAGCCTGTTCTGGAGGATGATGCGCTGCTATACAGCTTAGACGATATTGCAGTCCTGACTGTTGGAGAACAACAAGAGGTAGCAGGCAGACTAGGAAAGATAACTGATTCAGCACGGATAAAGGACCTTGAGAATGAGCTTAGTAACCTCCGCGACGAATTTGCAGAGTATAAGCAGATGGTGCAGAAGGCCCTGAACCAATCCATAGAGGACGAGGGTGAGAGCAGCAATAACAAGGGAGATTCTTCAAGCTCGCGGTCTTTCCAGGAGGCAGAAAAGGGATACTTCACTTCATATGCCTATAACGGTGCGTATACATAACACACATCGCTTAGTCTCACTGTCTGGACTAACGACAACAGCAATCCACGAGTCGATGATAAAGGACTCCATTCGGACAGATGCGTACCGTGATTTTATCTATGATAACAAACACTTGTTCAAGGACAAGGTTGTTCTAGATGTTGGCTGTGGAACGGGTATCTTGTCAATGTTCTGCGCCAGAGCTGGCGCAAAGCAAGTGATTGCCGTTGATAACTCAGATATCATCAGCAAGGCACGAGAAATCGTATATGAAAATGGATTCGATAAAGTCATCACGTAAGTATCATCTACCACGGGGTCATCTTTTGATGGTCCATATCTAATGAGAATTATAGATGCCTGCGTGGTAAGATTGAAGAAGTCATCCTTCCCGTGAAGCATGTCGACATCATAGTCTCCGAATGGATGGGCTACTGTCTCCTCTTTGAGGCTATGTTTGATTCTGTTCTCTGGGCTCGCGACCGTTACCTCGTCCCTGGCGGTCTCATGGTCCCTTCGCATGCAACCATTCGCATTGCGCCAGTTGCCTCCGCAGACATCGTCCAGGAGCACATTACCTTCTGGAAATCAATTTATGGCTTTAACATGACAAGCATGCTCGAAGGCGTACATGATGAAGCTATTGTGCGTAGTCTCCAGCCCGATATCATCGCTGCTAAATCAGAGCTCTTCTTTTACATGCCGCTTCATACAATCACGGCCAAGGAGCTTGTATTCACCAAGGAATTTTCTGTCACGCTCTCCCGGGATATTGACTCTCTAGACGGCTGGGCCGTATGGTTCGATATAATATTCATGCCTTCGGCTGATAGCAAATTGACTCCCGAAGAGGCCTTGCCAGAAATAATGAAGAAACGAGATATAGTAGCCTTCACAACTGGCCCCGATGGGAAACAAACGCATTGGCATCAGGGTCTCTTCCTCATTAACCAGAAGAAAAACCCTACTGCTGCAATGAAGAAGGGACAGGTAATTAGTGGCTCTATCGAGTACCAGAAGAAGGATGAGAAGTCACGCTTGTTAGATATCACCATTGGGTGGAACTCGGATGGCAAGTCTGGAAGCCAGAAGTGGTCTTTGACATAGTTCATATGAGGATAGAGAGCGATTAGAGCATTGGGCGGGTTACTTGATGGACATCACCTCTGATCTATGGGTAATGGGTATAGAGAAAAGCGGATTAAACTATCAGGAGTTTATGGGTATCAATGGGGGTATAAAATAACGAGCTTGTTGTCTCAAGTGCCTGCGAATTGAGCACTGTATCTTTTTCCTGGAGCTTGACTCCAAGCAACAGACACTTTCTCAGGTTTCGGCCCGGTTTTGGATTCATGTCTATCATTGCGCCTTTTCCGGTGTGCCTCGTCATGCCGTGACCTGTCCCTTCCGCTACCTCGATCTCGATCTCGATCTCGAGAACGGCTTCTATGGTGCCTTCTTTTCCTCCTTTCAGCCCCAGCATCTAGCCTGAAACCATCAAGGCTATCATCTGAATCAACATTACCCTGGTGCCTTCGTCTTCGTCGTTTCTCCTTATCCTTCTCTTCTCTTTTCAGAGCCTTGAGCTCTCTCTCCCTTTCCTCAGCCCACTTTGTTCTCTCCTTCTCCACCTCCTTTAGCTGCTTCACACCTTTCTTCATCGCCGCCAGCGGATCGTTCGTAGCTATCCTTATTTTTTCCCTCTCTTGTCTTCTGGGGTCTTCGTCTCCCCAAACGTTCTTATTAGGTAGCCCGGCGTTCTGTGTGGATATTTCCGTATTTGAGGAGTACCATGGTGTAGAGGTCAGCTGCTGTTTATAACCCGCAGCATTGGAAAGCCGCATCATATATTGGTTTTCAAACTCTTGGTTCTTTTTTGCAGTTTCAGCTTCAGCTTCTGGGTTCTTGTCTGAACGGCGCGTTCGAGACGTTGATTCCTCGGGAAACAAACTGATGTGTCCTGACTTATCGACAATAGGTGCATCGTCAGTACGCCGGCGAGATGCCTTAGATTCAACTCGCTGACGCGCCAGCTCAGCATCTTCTTTTGCGAATCGGATGTCACGATCGGTATCATTTTCTCCAGCCAGCCTTCTCCTTTTCCGGTGTCTCGATTCTACAGGAAGTTTCTCACGGGAGCGAGGATGCCGCTCTTTTTCATCCACAACATCATTCAAGGGTACCGGTATCTTCCCACGTAAAATGTCTATCCTCCTCTCCGCATCTTCCTCCCGTTGCTTTCTTTCGTTTTCCTCCTCCTCAGCCTTTGCGCGAGCTTCATCTCGGCGCACTCTTTCGATGTTGTCCTTGTTGTATACGTTCCATGACTTCTTCCCTAACAAATGTCTATAAATAACATGTCAGCATGGACCCCAGCTTCGTGCATATCAATAGTTCCACTTACAACGGCATCGTCCAGTGCTTTTTCTTGCTCTCCTATGATGTTTTCTTGACGTGCGGTCAAAAAGCAAGGAAGGCCAAAAGTGACGACACTGCTGACTAAGGCAGACCAGCTCCTCCAGCGCATCGAAGTCGCCTGAAGGCAGCAAGCGAAACAACAAGACGACGAAGAGCAGACCTGACACATCTCAAGTCTGTTTCAGATTTTGAGGGACGCTATCTAGAATATATATACCGATACTATCCACGCAGATATCCCCTTGCTACCTCACGACTATACAATAAGCCGATTTGTTTACGCTAGCAAACCCCCGCAAAACGGTGGATAGCTAGCAGGAACCGCACGCAGCATGTTCAATCCGTTCGGATCAAGCAATCCACCTCGTGATGATGCCCCTTATCCTCCTCGAGCACCTCAACAACAACGGGGTGGTTATGACGGCGGTTATGGACAGGATCCCCGAATGGGAGGTATGAGCGGAAGGTACGTTTTCGAGTATATACCCTTCTACGTGGCTGGATATACCGTTGTGGCTGACGGATGTAAATGAGAATAGCAGCAGTTATGGGAGTTCGCCAATGGGTAGACCAGGTGAGAGACAGATGCCTCCTAGACCTACCGGAGGTCGAGGTGGCGAGGGGCAAACCTGGTCTTTGCGTCCTGCCAAAAGTCCGGATAATTCATACACCTATGGAAACCTGTACGTCTTGATATTCCCTAATCAATAGGTTACATGGGATGGAGTCTAACGGTAATTTGTTTTGTTATAGTGTTGCAGTTTCTCCCCGTGATATCCCTCGTTCCCGTGACGGCACTGATGTCCCAATTTTGGTCAATGGGCTATACGTGTTTTCTGCTCGCCCCATGGAGGGTTTCCCTCAGGGTCATATCAGTATGTCAGATCCACAGAGGACATGGGCGCAGGTTGCCTTGACCGACATGGTGCAGGTACAGCTGTACGATGCGTTCAGTCAAGGTAGCCAGGCCTACCTTGGGTCTATGGATATTGAAGTGAGCTTTGCTGGAAGAAAGAGGACAGAGGTCCCTTATGACCAAGATCAACTTGCTCAGACATTTATCAAGGTAGGTTTGAGGAGTACGATGATGTTTGTTCGTGGCTAGATATTCAGTGCTAATGCAGCGTAGAACTTCGAGGATCAGATTCTTGCACCTGGTCAGAAGATACTCATGGATGACAAGAGCATCCCTTTGCTATTGACAGTGAAAACGGTTCAGCTTGGTGATTTAACTACAGAGAAACCATCTTCCTCTGCACCAACCTCGTCGGATCCCCACTCCAGAGGCATTCTAACAGGCTATACATTAATCAACTTTTTCAAAGATGCAAAAACCGGAATCAATGTTAAAGCATCTAATCGACGACCAGCAGCAAATTCAATAGTCCAGCCTGATTTCAAATTTGAGAATATGGGAATTGGCGGTTTGGACACAGAGTTTAGCACCATCTTCCGAAGAGCTTTTGCATCCCGTATCTTCCCTCCAGGACTTGTCGAGAAGCTTGGTATCCAGCACGTCAAAGGTATCTTGCTTTATGGACCTCCTGGAACAGGTAAAACTTTGATTGCAAGGCAAATTGGAAAAATGTTGAATGCCAGAGAGCCTAAGGTTATCAACGGCCCCGAAGTGTTGAATAAATTTGTTGGCCAGTCCGAAGAGAACATCAGGAAACTCTTTGCCGATGCCGAGAAGGAGTATAGAGAGAAAGGTGACGAGAGCGGACTACACATTATCATTTTTGATGAATTGGATGCTGTTTGCAAACAAAGAGGCAGCGGTGCCGGTGGTGGAACGGGTGTTGGCGATAGTGTTGTCAACCAACTTCTATCAAAGCTCGACGGTGTTGACCAGCTAAACAATATCCTCCTTATAGGAATGACAAACCGAATGGACATGATTGATGATGCCCTACTGCGTCCAGGTCGACTGGAGGTCCATATGGAAATATCCCTCCCAGATGAACATGGCCGGGCTCAAATATTGAAAATCCATACCCAGAAAATGCGAGAGAACGACGTTATGGACCGAGACGTGGATCTCAAGGAGCTTGCAGCACTTACCAAGAACTTTTCAGGTGCCGAGATTAGCGGATTGGTGAAGTCAGCTTCGTCCTTTGCCTTTAATCGCCACGTTAAAGTGGGAACCATGGCCGGTATAAGTGATGATATTGTTAACATGAAGGTCAACCGAACAGACTTTCACAACGCGTTAGAAGAGGTAAAGCCCGCCTTTGGTGTTTCTGAAGAAGAGCTCGAGACTTGTATCCACGGAGGGATCCATCATTTCTCACGAGCGGTGGGTGAGATCCTGGAAGAGGGTAACCTCTTCGTCAAACAAGTCCGTGACCCAGAATCAACGACATCTCTTTTCTCAGTGCTTCTCCATGGGCCACCTGGCAGTGGAAAGACGGCTCTGGCTGCTAAGATTGCGATTGACTCGGGTTTCCCCTTCGTCAAACTAATTAGCCCAGAAGATATGGTGGGCTATAGCGAGATGGCCAAAGTGCAGCACATGAATAAAGTGTTCACAGATGCCTACAAGAGTCCAACCAGCGTTGTTGTCATGGACAACATTGAGCGAATCATTGACTGGGTGCCCATCGGACCACGATTCAGCAATTCCGTCCTCCAAGCTGTGATGGTGCTGCTCAGGAAACAACCTCCTAAAGGCCGTCGTCTGCTGGTCCTTGCAACCACGACTGAACGATCAATCCTGAAGCAGCTTGACGTGTTCACTTCGTTCAATGCGGACATACCTGTACCAAACATCAACACCTACGAGGAATTAGCCTACATCTTGCAGCAGGAACAGACTCTGTCTTCTGACGAGATCAAGTCTGCTTTGTCACGGATTCGAGAACTGACACAGAGTGATAAGATTGGAGTCGGTGTGAAGAAGGTGCTGCTTGGTGTTGGCACTGCAAAGCAAGACACCGACAAGGCCACGCGGTTTGCGTCTGTTATCGCTCGAGCAATGGATGAGCAAAATTATGTATAGAGAGAGGTTAGCACATGCTAAGATGCAGGATTGAACCCTGGCCTTATATATCTGTTTGCTGTCCTTTTGCAGTGTAATTCTATATTCAATTCAAGTATGTCTCTGCTTGAAATGGGTCATATAAATACACTGCTTCCCTATATATCCCACTGGACTATCTATTGCTTTATAAATAAGACAACTTGTGATATCCCTCTACCAATTTCTTACCTCAAAAAGTATCCCTTTGCTAAGAAACCAGGAGTTTATAGACTGGAATATCCCAATATCCCTGTTGAAGCCCCTTAACAACACATCTCTTGCCTGCACGTGATGATTTCCTAAATGGGAAGAGGACTGATATAACAAAATAAAACTTCGCTTAGGCAAATATCAACCACACTCTTTGTTACTGCAGAGACGCTCTTCACAGCTCTCTTTTTCGGCTGAAGTCTTTTCATTCTATCTTTGATAACGCGTCTCTATACAAGTAGAAGCCATCCTCCTTCTCCCCCTATCTATAAAGCAAAGCGTGATATCAACAAGACAGGACGTTGCCGACCATGGCTGCCAACGATAGCACCAACAACGCTGAAGGCACCAATGCTGCTACTGGGCCTGCTGCACCAGCTGCACCAGCTGTGCCAGCTGTGCCAGCAGGACCTTCCACTCGATTCTATAGCAAACATGCTCAGAATAAGGGACAGTATGGACGCCGCTGGGACTCCTCTGAGAGTAAGCTCGAGATCTCTGGCCCTCCTGGCGCTCTGAACTCCTTTTCTGGGCCGCGCCCTGCAGCTCCTGCAGCTCCTCCAGCAGCCTCGAGACCAAACCCAGCCGCTCCCCCGTTTACACCTGCTCCTAGGAAATGGGGTCCAAGCCCTGCAGCTGGAGCTTCAGGGTCTTCTTCTGCTGGCGCTGACACTGGAAAAGACTACAAGCGTAAGAACCGCAAGTTCAAGCCTAAAAAGGAGAGAAAGGATGGCACGCCAACTAATACGCCTGTGTCTGATGCCCCTGATGGGCTCAAGGATACCACTAACCGCCGTCCTCAGAGACGCAATATGCCTGGAACTCGCAACCCAGGTATGAGACGTCGAAACGAAGAAGGTGGACGCTCTGCAACCCCAGGAGCCAACCAAGATGAGCCAACAGTTGTCGAAGCCCCTGCAAACGACAAGACTCCTGCTGTCCCTGCACAGGAAGACAATGCTGTCAAGGAACAGCCAGTTGGCACTGAGGAGCCCAAGGCTATGACGCCGCCCAAAGAGGAGGATGCCAAACCGGTCGAAGTTAACCAGGCATCCGATGCTCCTGTTCCCAAAGACGTTGAAGGTACGCATACCCCCTTTATTTGTTTTTGTGCAGGTCAATAACAATGATACTAATGCATGTCGACAGTGTCTCCCCCAAAAGACGCTGAGGATACACCCAAGCCTGCTTCTGAGCCTGCAGAGGAAAAAGCAGAGGCAGTGCCTTCTCTCATCAAATGGAGCCCCATCTTCCCTCCAGGTGGTCCTAGTAGGTCATAAAAATTCCAAAAATCGTGTATCAGGTCCCATACTAACCATGGCTCTAGGACCAACTCCCGCCCTCAACGACGGAGCCTCCGGCGATCAGCCTAAACGCACCAACTACGTCGACGCGAATGGCAACTACCATGCCCCCAATGGAACGATCATGAGCGCTGAGCTTCTCAAGCTGTTCGCTACTGGAAAGATCCGCAACTCGCTGGGCGATAAGGTGTACTTCATGCCGTCCTTCATTGAGAACCATCCCCCAGAGGGCCAGCAGCCCTATCCTCTTGCCGGTACCCCCTCGCGCATCTTCTATGATCCTAGAGACTTCAAGAAGGCCTCGCAGTGAGCGATGAGTGATATTTTCGTGGTAGTGGTCTGGGTATACTTTAGTCGGAGAGGTACCGTTGGCTAGCTAAAACGGAATAGGAGACAACAGCTGACATGGGAAAAGAAAATGAATTGGAATGAAAAAAGGTGCAACAAACATTCTCAGTCGCAGCAACTACTGTGATGTATGTACATCTGAACCAAGAAGGGGAAAAGAGGAAGTGAAAAAAATAAGGATGTTAGGTAGGAAAAAAAAAAAGGAGAGGTAGCATGCAAGCAGACCAGCTCAATGAAAGAAGTGATATCTCTCCAGGCCAGGGGGCGTACACCACCCACACCCACCACACCACTCCAGAGCAGCCGACAGACATAATACGTACCTTTAAAGGTAGCAAGCAGCAGTAGAGTAGACGTTAATAGGCAGACAGGGCCTCCTTTATGGTTATCTTATGTGCGATGTTACACCTCAGCAAGATCAGACCCGAGGATATATACACCCACCCACACCCAAAAACAATACCATCCACGGGACCCCGTCGGAAAGGGTATTATTCGTATTACAGGGCATAAAAAGAGCATAAAATAGTATAACAGCCTCTCTCACGGGGCCAGCTACGGCAGACGTATCAGTATTACGCTTACTGTTACTGTGGGAGGATCAAATAGGTCACTTGCCGGTTCTACGCCACACAGCTGAGCAAGCAGCACTCGAGGGGACCATATACGGCGGATCAGCACTACGGCATACAGGCGTACATAAATTACAAGTCTAGAAGGGATCCATGGGCCCGGTACGCGCTAATAAGGGCCGTTGATAGGTGGAATCGTCTTTTAAGAGTTCCCGATATGCAGGTTCCCTTGCGCACCTCCCCCCTGGTCCAGCACCCTGAACGTAAGGGGGGGCAGGCAGGGGGTGCAGCGGTACGCTTGGTCCCGCTAGCTGCAGCGGGGCGGGGGGGCGGAAACCCCGGGCGGAAAGGGCTGACGGCTGGACGCTGCGGGCCAGGGGTGTGGGCGGGAGGTTGGAGGGCGGTTTGCGGGGGATGTGCTGGCTGGCCCAAACATTGTGCGGTGGATTTTCTGTTTCTGGCGGGCAGTATCGAGCTGATTGTGGCATAGTAGCTTGGTATCGTCGTCGCTGGGTCAGCGCTGGTGGTGGTGTTGCGGGAAATGTGATGTATCAGACGAAGTGTGCGAAAAAGGAAGGGGGGGGGGGGGGAATAAGCAGGTATAAATCGATCGAATTCTGATCACACCAATTTTGTATGAACATAAAAAAGCCATTAACAGCAGAATATATCCTCCCACTCTGTACCCGTGAATAAAAAAAAGATGACAAAATATTAAAATAGATCAGCGTGGGGGGAAGAGGGGCTGAGACATCCATAACCCGGGGTCAAAGAAAAAGCAGCGCAAAAATCCAGCCAAACGGAACATTCTGCCTCCCAATTGTTTTTTTTTTTTTTTAGAAGCAGAGAAAAACTGAAGAAAAAGCAAGGAAACCGGTACTCCGTTGCCTGGGGGAATTCACCAAAAAAAGAAAAGAAAGTCGTTAGCTTTGCAGGGTCGTTAAAAGTGGACGGGATATCGATATCCAGGGGGTGAGGATTAGTAGTCCTCAGGATAAGCGTATTTGCTTGATGCAGAGCGGTATTCCTTTGGAAGCGCCGATTCGGCCTTTGCCTTCATGGCACTGCAGATTCACGTATCAGCAGGAATTTACAATCGCTGGTATAAGGGTGGTTTTGCGTAGGGAAAAAAAAAAAGCGGCCACCTGCAAAATTGCCAAGGACGGCGGGGCGGAGAAAAACAGAGCAGGGGCGGAGCGGGGCGGAAACCGACATGGTTACCAGGAATGGCAGTGTGTAGAAGGGTGTAAAAGCAGCAGAGAAGGGGGTTGAAGCGGGTGCAGAGGCTGAAAAAAAGCGACTGCAGGGAGGAAACTCACCTAACCCGTTTTTGGGTCCACTCGAGGTCGGCCTTGGTCTCCTTTGCGGCCTTGATGCCCTCTGCGAAGTTTGCTCTGGCGCCCTTGACGCGGCGTTGCATGAGCGCCTGGAGTTCGAGGAGCTCGCGCTGTTTAGCGTTGAGCTGACCGGAGCTGCAGAGAGTCAGAACACGATCATGAAACAAGCACTCGCTAGTAAGAATGCTAGGAAAGAAAAGAAAGAAAAGAACAAAAGGGGCTAAAAGAAAAAGGGGGACGAGGAGACATACAGCTGGGTCTGCTTAGCGATGCCCTGGTCGAGACGGGAGGGATCGAAGACGTTGCTCATGCGGTCGTTGAGAGTGTCGATAACGTCGACGCCCGAGTAGCCGGCCGAGGAGTCGTATTCGCCGCTGGCGCTGCCGGTGGTGGTGCTGACATCTGAAACCTCAGGGGGAGAGCCGGCAATGCGGGAGACGGGGTAGTAGCTGGCGCTCTGGGGGGCCTTGGACGGCATGTTGATGGGAAAGGAGGCATTGTGGGCTCGCATGGCAGTCTCCATTGTGACAGCAGTGTTTTGATGGCGAGGACAGTAGGGATGCAGAGGCAGGAGGGTATAGCTACTGGGTATCAGGGGCAGCAATGTATGCAATGCAAGGCTACTACTGTGCTAGTATGAAGACGTAGGAGTATGTATGTAGCAGGACAGGAGGCAAGACGGCAGTCAATGCTAGGCAGGGCAATGCAGACGGGCAAGACGATGGTCGAGAAAATAAGGAAGAAGGAGGAGGAGGACCAGACGAGGACGAGGAGGCCCCTTTTATACCCCTCGAGGCCCTCCTGGCCTGCCCGAAGGGGGATAGTCCCGCTGGCTCCCTCCCCCCCGGCTGCGCTGCGACTCCCGCTGGCGCCCCCTTCTGCCCTTGCGGCCCTTCGTCTCGTCCCTTCGTCGTCATCGGAGGAACAAGGGAGAAGACGAGGGAGCAACGGAAAAAGAAAAGAAACGAGAAAAAAGTACAGCGCCCCCCTTTTCCCTGTGGTCGACCCCCCCCCCCGCCCCCCCCCTCTATCCGGGGGGTGAGTGGGCTCTAGGGCGCCGAGAGGGGTTCGCTCCACGAAATTGTATTATAATGATCCTGCGCGGTGTGAGCAGCCACCAACCTCCTGCACCGAGTATGTTTGAGTGGGGGTGTAAGTCGTCCCCCTCTCCCCCCACGATGGGGGATCGACCGATATTCCGTGGATCTCCTCACTCAGAGAGCCCAAGAGCCTGCGTGGTTGGATATGTGGGTGTGGGTACCTGCCACACACCCCCCCAATACAAAAGCGAAATA